TGATGAAAGAAAAGTCAGCGGTGGGGGAAAGCAGCGAAATTGAAAGGGAAAACATTGGGGAAGAGGCAGGGGTATGTGTTGAGAGCTATGGCAAAACAGAGGCAGAATCTTTGCAAGTGGATTTACTTGGGAAAACTTTATTTTCTGCAACTAAAAAGTTTACCAAAAATATAGAAAGAAAAATATGAAAAATATTTATTATATTTCTCTCCTCTCAAAACCAAAAGAACCTTAGACATAATAGACCTAGAAGACCTAGAATAAATGCTTACCCTTTTCTTATAATCTAAGAATCAATGAAAGTTAATGCAAAAATATCTGTACAATGCATAGAAACTCACTGCTTAAAGAAAACAACATTCCATCGAGAAAAAATGGCAACTTTCGCTGCAAAATAAAAGCAAAAGTTTGCATCTATAAAAAAAGGGTCAAGAGCTGTCTCTCAATTTGGGAAAAAATATTCCAACAGCCATCTACACCACTGACTAGACGGGCGCATCTTTAGAATCTAGGGAAATCTAAAGGGGAACTTTCTCTCAAGTAAACAGCAAACAAAATTACTAAAAAAAGAAAAACTAAAAATCAGCTGCAAATGCAGATGTGAAGGAGTCGCCCTGCGCCCCCCGTACAGGTCTACAGGTCGTATCCAACAGTCTTACAAAAATGTTGTACTACACTTTTGCCCCCCTCAGCGTTGCCCCTCTAGCTTTCATTCATGCTTTCAACACACAGTGAGAAAAAAGATAAGCAAAAGGGTAAAAGAAGCTGAAGCTGAGGCTGAGGCAGAGAGAGCGCAAAAGTTTTTGGCCAACTTAGGCAGAGAGAACGCTCACTGCCACTCCCACTCCCTTTCTATGGAACACTAGGGAACATCAACATTAACATGGAAACAAAAGATTCTAGGGGCACTGCAAGAAAACAACAATGTTAAATTTTTATTTTTTTTAAATTTAATTAATTTTCAACCGTGTTGATTAGTTAAAAGAATGTTCAATTTTTAATCTAATTTTTTTTTTTTACTACAATTAAATTGCATAAATTAAAGAAAATTTCTATAATTTTTTAAGGGTTTTTAAAACACTCAAAAAGATCTTCCAGTTTGTAGAATTTTTCTTAACTGACAAAAATCTTCGTCTCGGGCGGTTGCTGGAATTTTAAAAGTCACTGCAAAAGGGTTTCCCCCGAATGTAATATTTGAAATTTGTATTTAAATTATAAAACTAAACCAAGATGCATTTAAAATTAATTCTTCATTTGTAACAATTTTCTTTTTGTTTTTAAAATATTTCTTAAGTCTGCAGAATTTCTAAAATTAAATTTTCTCCGAGTGTAGTTGGCAGAAAACAAGCCAGCCGCCTGCCTGTAGAAAAGTGCAACACGGCGCGGCAAGTGCAGAAAACTCAACAGCAGCTCAACATGCTTTGCCTTCCCCTGTCCCACTTGCGCCCCCACTACACTTCAGCTAACCCCTGCCCGCTGTGGCCCTTCGGTTGGTTGTTCCTGCAACATTTAAGCGCATTTAGGGCAAATGCCAGGCAGCCTACCGCCAACCGCCCCCTGCCAACGTGCCAGCACGACCCTCAGGCCTCGACTCGCATCGCGTCGCGTCGCTAATTAAAAGTGCAACAAGGAGAAGAAGCACAGAAGCAGGGCACAGGGTGCACCAGAAAGCAGAGCAACAGAAAAGGTCGAGCAGCGATGAAGAGAGTGGGGAAGAGAGAGAGAGAGAGAGGGGCAGAGAGTGGAGAGGAAGGCAGATAAGGAGGCGACTGCCATTAACACCCGAGAGCTTGAGGTGCAAGCTGCCTGAGAAGCCAAGTGGCAGGCAGCGAGGGCAGGCAGCTTGGCAGAGCAGGGCAGCCAGGCAGCAGTAGGGCAGGCAGCACAAGTTGTGGCAAACTCTCAGCTGCTCTCTGTCGCTCTCTCTTTTGCTCTCTCTGGTGCCCTGCTATTTAGTTAACCGTTAATGGCATTTGAAACTGTTTTTATTGTGCGTCTTCTAGTGCTGCTCTTCCCCAGCTGCTGCCTCTGCCCCTGCCTCTGCCCCTGCCTCTGCTGCTGCTGCTGCTGCACAAAAATGTTGCATAATTGTAAGCGCTTCCGGTTGAAAAGTTTGTCGAGTGAATTAGAGCTACGGCGGCAGCGGAACTTTCCTCCTTTAACTCCAACTCCTCCTCCTCTTTCCTTCTCGAGCACTTTTGAAGCCCAGAGAACTCGTTTACATGAAAAGATTTCGCCCACACAAACTACAGAGTGTGGGTAGGGAGGGGTGCGCAGTGGGGTTTAATAAGCAATGATGGCTGGGAATCGTACGAGCTGCTGGGCGGGCGGGTGTAGTCGTTACTAGGACCACAACTATGCCGCAACTGTTGTTATTATTTGCTCAAATCAATGCGAAAAAACTTTGACAAACTTTAATTGCGTCCCCATTTGTGTGTGCCCCCACCGCCACACTCCCACGCGGAACCAAGTACGGCATACTACGGAAGAATAGGCAAAACTCCAACCCCACCTCCACTCCACCCCCTTTTAACTGCAAAAGACCCCAGTTAATTGCTTGAGAAGAAGTAGGGGCAGCCCACTCTTGCCTGCTGTTGGAGCAGTAGGCAGCATTCCAGACAATGAAAGAAATGCATTAAAATTGTTCATCAGTGTTAAAACAGGGTGGGGGGGGGGGTGTGGGGGGAATACTAACAGAGGGAGAACGAAGCTTTAGCTACACTAAAGCATAGATTCTTCTTATGGATACTAGATGTAAAAACATATCAAAGGTTTTTAAGAGCTGTAAAAACAGAGAACATTGTAATTTCTAACGTCTAAAGAAATACAAAATTAATAATTACTAATAATTAATAATTCCAAGGATTTTTGCTTTAAAATATTGCCGATAAAGTGATCCATTTGTGATCCAATTTATTTCCAGCTATGCAAAATTACAGCGACCTGCCCTCAGTAACATTTCATTAGATATCTTTTTGATATGCAACTATTGTTTTTATTAAATCGAATCAGTCTAACATGGCCCCTCGCTTTTACAAACTTCTCACAGCAAAGATACCTATCTATGGAGGGTTTCAGTAGCCCCAGTAATAGACACAGAAATATGTGTGTATAGTGGTAGATCTCTCCAGAGATCTTGCTGCCCTTCATTATCAATCCGCTGCTCGAAATCGAAGTATCCTCCAGCTATGAAAGGGTATAAAAAGTAAAGGGGGAGAGAGACTGAGAACTGCTAGGCAGCAGCAGCGAGAGAGAGTGGAAATTTTGTTATTTCGGTCAAATATTTCGCTCATTGTGTGGCAGGCAGGCAGGCAGGCAAAAACTTGAGCAATCAAAAGTTGCTTCCTCTCTCTCCGCTCTGCCTGCGAAAAAGATTCGTATTTTTTGATGCTTATCAAATTGAAAAGTTTCTCAGTGCTCATATTTTTTCTTGCTTGTCCGGAATTGCAATTGGAGTAAGGAATTCTCTCCGACAGAGTACGAGGAGAATACGAGTAATACTCGTATAACAACGGACTTGGAATCTGTTGGCATAAAATTACTTAAGCAAATATGCAAATTGCATGGCCAAAAAAATAGAGAAAACAAAAACAAAAAGCAGCCATAGAAGAAACAGCGCATGAAATGTAAATGAAGTTAATATTATTACTGTTTTAGTTTTATGGATAATCATAAAAATTATCACGCCCCACCGCCGCCAAATAAGGCGGCGCATAAAATACTGAAGCCCAGCCCAGCCCCTGGAAGCACCGGAACACGCGAATAGTCCGCACGAAAATTGTCAAAAAAAAAAACGGAACTGAACCAAAAACCCACGCAACATGTCTGCAATATATTCACATGCCACATATACTCTACTCTACTCTACTCGTATGAGAAGGACCTCTGACCTCGCCCCTCGTTCCATTCTCATTTCTTGAATAATTTTTGGGGATAGGTTTTCCGTTGTCTATCTGAAAATTCGCACAAATCGAATATTTTTATTGCATACTTTTCGATGCGTAACGAAAAATGTTCCGAAAAGGAGATGCAAAGCTTTTGGTGTTTTGCGTTGAAGTGAAATGCTAGAGACAAAAAATGTGGAAAAATATGCATAAGCTTCCTTTTCACTTGAAAAAAATAAAAAAATAATAATATTTTCTAATAAAGTTAATGCCACATGCTCTTTTAAATGCTATCAGAAATCCTCTTAGAAATGTTTTCATTGAAGAAATCAACTGCACTTTGAGTTCTCTCCTCACCAAGAAAATCCTTTTGGTTTTTCCAGAGAAAACACTTGCCGGAACACATTTAACGCCGCATGGCATGGGGCATGGGGCATTGGTTGGGGCATAACTCAAAATTCAAGAAGTTTTTTGTTGCCAGCAAAAGCGTGCGTTTAATATTTATGAGTGATTTATCACGATATAAAAATAATAATAAATGCGACCAGGACACAACAAGCAGGCAGGCAGGCAGGCAGGCAGGCACACGCACCCAAACAAAAGAGTGACAGGCGGGCAGGGCACAATGAAGCCCAAGGAGGAACAGCAGCAGCACCAGCAGGAAGTAGGAAGTAGGAAATGCCCTTCATTGAAAAGCAGCTGCTGCTGCTGCTGCTCATAGCGAGAAGCGTAACAAGGCACAGTCACAGTCTTGTGGACATGACTGCTCGTAAAAAAGTCCCCTTGGAAAAAGGATAAATGGGCGTAAAGGTTCTATGAGTTTTTGGATAGATTTTAAGTGGCACAAAAAGGCATTTCGGGGGGCAACAATTAATTACGAAATGTCTGAACTGACGCGACGCCACGACTCCAACTGGAGTTGCAGTTTTTTGATATATGTATATTAATCCATAATAAAAATAAAACTTTTACTTTTAATTAAAATTTATTTTATTTGCAAAAACGAGCGAAAGTTTTGTGCGCTTGGCCCAGAGCCAGAATCAGAGCTCGCCCTGAACTACTTTCTGCAGAACATTCATCACATACTTTTCTCTCGCTCTCGTTTACTCGTTGCAGGGGTCAACATGGGCTACATGGAGAACAACTACTCGAATTCGAACAACGGCGGCAGTGTCAACTCACAGGACTCGTTGTGGCAGGTGAAGATGTCCGCCGCGGCGGTGGGCAACCAGCAGAGTATGGTGCAGGCACCGCTCAATCAGTATGTGGAACAGCAGCCCACCTATGGCTATGACCCACTGACCCATGGCGGCTATGGCGCCGTCGATGATTATGCACCCTATCCACACTTGACGGCCACGCCCAGCCAGGTGGGCGATGAGTATCACAATTTGAGGAACAGCCAGAATCCGTCCCGACAGGACTACTGCAGCGATCCCTATGCATCCGTGCAGAAGCCCAAGAAGCGTGTTGATCAGCATTTAGGTGAGTGGCTTACCCTACCCGTAGCAATTGAATAACTATGAATAAATATGAATGAATGTGTGAATAATAAGTGGGAATAATGAATGAATGACTGGAATAAATAATTACGATAAGTGAGCAATAAATGCGAGTGAATGTAAATGAATGAAAATGAAGTGCTATTTAGATCTTTAAGGCTATGAAAAGCTGCCAAAATTTTACGACAAAAAATCCCAGAAATTCCATAGCTCTGCAAGCATAGATCTCTAACCCTTATAGAGGCCTTATAGAACACCCCTTCCTGCAGCCGCGCACTAGAACATAGATTCCAAACAGATTTGTTTAGACGCAAAGTTTTTTCTCATTTTGATTGATAAACTTTGCCCGAAAGTTTCCAATTTTCTGACACATTAAGCTGCTGCTGATGTTCTTGGGTGTTGCTGCGTGGTGGCGGTGGCAGAGAGGAGGAGGAAGGTTTAAGAAAAAGAGTAAGTAAGGTCCTAGGTCCTATGTCCTAACTGCCTATGTCAAAGTAAGGGAACAAACTTTTGCCCTCAACATTTTTGTTGGCATTTGTGGGGCTTTTGGTTCGGGTGGGTCGGGTCGGTCGGTCGGTCGGTCTCTTCGGTTATGACAACTTAAGCACTGAAATGCTACCAGAGCTGAATGCTTGTGGGGCCATGTTCCTTTTTGGCCATGGCTCCATGCTAATTATAAACACTGTCCAAGGGTCACACTCTGCTCTGGCTTAGAGAAGGGGCAGTGTTTGTGTGTTTTGAAACATGTCACAAATATAAGTAATAATATTTCAGCCATGTGTATCAGCTAGCCATGTTTTTATACGAGCTGTTGGCTTGGGCTTAAAGTCTTTGCAACAAGAAGAAAAAAATTTTGCTTTAAGCAAAAAAAAAACCAGCAGCAGCAATGCCGCAAACAGGACAGGAGGGGGTACTGGGGATTCAGAAGTAGCGCTTCAGAGTGGAGCAGAAGCTTTATGCCCTTTGGCAGCTGCAGATTGTTGTGCTCTTGAGCTGGAGAGGGTATAGGGATTTTTAGAAGGCAGAGGAGAGGCCATCTGCGTAGACTACTTGCCATCGATGTGGGAATTTAGTGGGCATGGATAAAGATAGCAATAGCAGTTTAAAGACAGAGCTCTCTGGCCTTTGCTTCATGTATTAATTTTCATGTGCAGAACCCTTTCCCTTTGCTGCTAGAATTCAGCATAAATCGCATAATGTTCTATAAAAAAAAACTCGCTCGAAAAATAACTCTTTTCCTGCGGAAAACTTTAACTTTTTCTGCAAATATTTCAACGAAATAAAATCCACAATTTCCAGTTGCCAAAAGAGTATCTTCATCTTCGACTGCTGCGTGCAGCCCTTGCCCTTTCCTAATTCCAAATTGTCTCTGAATGTTGTGAGGGTTCTCGGCTTCGATCCGTGCCTCTGTGTCTGAGTGTGTTCGAATTTTGCACGAGGTGTTGTAGAGGGGAGGGGGTGTTGGGACGCAAAAGGAATCCATTTTCTGCCGCATGGCCCCAAATGTTTTGTTATGTGTATTTTATTATATATTTTTTTTTGTGCCCCTCTGTGGACTGTTTGTTGTTGCTGTTGTGTGGCAATGCCAATAACAAACACCGCAAGTGTTTTAAAATATTAAATAATAAAAACCGAACACTGAACACTGAACCAAAACGAAAGATGAACAGACAGCCCCCTGGATGCGGATGCGAATGCGGACTCGGATCAGAGGAGCTGCTGCGGTGGCAACTGTAACTGTAACTGTAGCAGCCGGGTTGCTACAGTGGGCAGCAGTGACTGTAAAGCGCCAGCGGGTCGTATGCGTAATATTCTCTCTGTATTTCTGTATCTGTGTATCTGTTGTGGCCACAACTACTATGAGGCAACTGTATCTGTGTGTGTGTGTGTTATCTTTACGCTTTATGAGCACCAAAAACCCGCAAAAAAAATACCACACTTATTTTTTGCTGCTGTATTTTTTGGGGGGGTTTTATTGCCCGCCCCCAAAACCAGGATGTTTTTTTTTCGGCTGAATATTGTTAGCTGGCATTTTTTTTTGGCCTTCTGCTTTTGCTGCTCCCTCTCTGTGTTGCTCTTTGCGCTTTGCTGCGTGCATATAAAATGCAATAAAAAGGGAGACAAAAAAAATACACACACACACAAACACACACACAGCAAAGAAGAAAACATGACAACCCTGGCTGGCGATCAGGCGGATGTGATGTGATGTGTTTGTCCTCATTGCCCCGATGTTTACGATGAGGTTAAATGCAGGAGCAACCAAACACAAAAATACGAGTACACTTGAAGAAAATACTAACTAAGTGCACTAGAAAATGCACTAGGAAATGGAAAAATAAAGTATTTGGAAGGGAAGAAGAATTAGTGTTTCGAATAGATTCACACACTTCAAGTATGATTTTTTTTTATGGCATGAAATGAATGAAATAGGCAGCCAAAAATTGATCGAATTGTTTGATCTTAAATATTTATTGCTATAGCAAACATTTACTTCAACAATTTTTACATATACATATGAAAGAGCAATTATTTTATGATCGATTTAGATTTAGAAATATGCTAGAAATTAATTTTTTTATTTGAATATAAAAAAAATCCCAGTAATAAACTCCCTGATCTGATCTGTATTTGTGCAATGTTTCAGTCCAAAAATTTAAAACGAAAGAAACTTTTGTGCACCGAAACATAAGGAAGGCAATGGCAATACGTTTTGATTTTTTTTTATCAAGATTTCAAATATTTATACTGCTAAAAATGCTTCCTCTGCTTCATCTGTTTGTATGCTTTATACCCTCTCCAGAGGGTATCATAATCGTAACAATAGTGGAAAGCATTTTGGCAATGCTCAAACGAAAGGCACAGCCACAGCTGTCCAAAGATAGCTAGCAAGAGAGAGTTGAGAGGAGAGGAGCAACAAAAACTATTGCATGCCAATAAAAAGTAGCAACAATAAGTGTATGATAGAGAAGCGAGGGAACTAGAACTAGAGCTAGAAGGATAGAAAAGGGACACAGGGTAGGGGGAGGACACACAAGAGGCAGCAGCAGCAACATCAGCAGATACGAACGAGTGGAGTATAGAGTAGATCCCCCAAGAGTGCCATCAAAAGCAAAGCAAACTAAAAGCCAAAGCCAGGCCAACAGTGGAAGCAGCAGATGGTAGTACGAGTAGATGGTGGGGAAGGGTTAAGGGGGATAGGGGTGGCGGCACGTGGAGCGAGTGGCAGGACTGACAGTGCCACAATATGCAAATACATCTTCATTACATTGATGTCAGCTTATGCACAGCTTGCTGCATGCAACTGTAGCCAGCCACCCACCAGCCCAGCCCAGCCCAGTCCCCTACCATCTCAGGCATATGTGTGAGTGGCAGAGTCTGCTATCCATGTGTGTGCGTGTGTCTGTGTTTGTATGTTTAAAAGCTTTTACACTTGCCAAACTCACATTTGAACCCCCCCAAACTACCCGAGAATGATTTCCTCACAGAGCTCCTCGTCTGCTGACTTTTGTGCAATGCAAAATGCAGCAGCAAATAAGTGAGTGATCAAAGGGGGGCCACAGAGTGGGACTATGGGTGGTGTGGAAGCGGCGGAATTCGATGAGGTGGTGCCCTGGCCAGGGCCGGAAGGAAGTCTGCGCCAGGCGCCAAAATGCTGCGTAAGCAAGAAGTATCTTCTCTTTTTGTTTTTTTTTTTTGTTCTTCTTTTTTGCATATGTTAGCATGCAAAGAAGGTTATAGCATCAGCAAATGAGAGGGCTAAAAGGGGGAAAGAAAGGGCCAAGAGAGGCAGAAAGGGCCAAGAGAGAAGAAAGGGCCAAGCGGGGAAGCTGTGACGCTGTGGCTGAGGCTGCGAGGGAGAGGGAGGGGTCTGTAGGACACATACTGACTGATTGATTATGCAGACTTTTGTGTCAGTTGGTTCGAGCGCTTTTGTTTGGTCTTTTGTCAAACACACACACGAACACACACACACACACATGGTTGCATGAATACATGTATGAGCCACACACACACACACACACACACATGCAAATGGCTTTAATTCATCATTAAAGCAAAGAAAGGGAAAGAGACAGCGGCAGGAGTGAAAAACCACAATGGTGGGGGGGTGGTGGATAAAACGCCAAAGAAGAAAGAGATGTTGTAGCCGATTATGCCCCCAAAGCTTTTAGCAGATTATTCAAATTGGCTACTTCATGAATATACATAAACGATTTTGATTAATATCTTAGCTATACATACACACATACATACACATATGCACACAGATGCTCATGCATGACAAATTTTGTGGGCCAGCAGGAAAGGGAAGGGAAGGGAGGTGGGGATATGAAAGTCAAAGATTTATTTTAAGGGAATTTAAGAAATTTTGCACATGTAGGGGCATGTTTTGACTTGCTTTAAGTTAAAATTGGAGTAGTTCCTATGAAAGATAATTTTAAATGATTTTAGAAATTTATGAAATATTTTTGATCAGTAAAGAAAAATTTAAGAATCCGTAAGGCAAATCTTTCTGGCAAACTCCACGGAAAAAAGCATAAAACAGTCGGTTGAAAATATCCAAATATCTAATGAAAATTTGTTGAATATATGCTATATGTATATACATGTATGATATATATATATATATATGAAGCAGAAACCATTCCCAAATATTAAGTACAAAATTTAGGACAACATAATGAAATTTGAGCAATATATGTGCATTTTTTGTTTGATCGAAAAACTTCCCAAAAACCCGTAAAATTATCGTGAAAGAAAGTGTGAAATATATAAGGCTTTCCATCACTTGCTTCAAACCAAAGCAAGTTGCAAGTTTTCTTTTGGCAACCTTTGACTTTCCCATGGACAGCCCTGTAATCCGTGTATCTTCTCATAGATCTCCGCTGGAATCCTTTCGGGGCCCATTCTTATGCTGCCTGCCCTGCCCTGCCCTGCCTACATCTCTTTCGTTTATCGCTGCGTTGAAATACTCGCAATGCAGTTTGCTTTTAGGCTGGGCAATAAATGCTTCGCCAATGACAAGAAAACTTATTCAAAGTGCCATAAAAACCTTGTTCATGGTGGTGCCGCCATCTCCCTACCACGCTCTATCCCTGGTGCTGGCCGTGTTCCAACTTCCATGTGGGCAGGAAATAAGAGGTGGAAAGCGGGAGAGGCAGGCAGGTGGCTCTGCTAGCTCTGCTATATAGGGAATCAGATAAATCACATGAGTCAGGATTTTTGCAGCACAAAAAGGGCAACACGGGAGTTGCAGGACAGTGGCAGTGGCAGCAGTCGAAGGAGCAGCACACTTCAGAGCACTAAACACACACTAAGTGGATTTGGGAGTCAGTGCAGGAGCATGGGAAATGGAGATGGTAGCTGCTAGATAGAGCAGAGAAAGGAGCAGTTGCAAAGATGAGAGAAAGCCAGTGGCTGGAAGAGAGGTCGGTACGGTCCGCTCCGGTACGGTACGGTCCAGTCCAAGGCGAAGGCGAAGGCATCCAAAAAGGCAACAAATGATAAGCGCTTTGGCTTTTGCTGCTCGTCGTATATATGTATTTTAACTCCTTGTTTTGTTTTCATGTTTTTGTGCAGTGCGAGAAATGGGGATAAAGTTTCGAATGTTTGCCACCTGCTGTGGCAGTGTGTGTGCAGCTGCAGTTATTGAGGCATGCATCATCATGGCTATGGGCGGCAGTTCTCTTTTTGTATGGGGCTAAAAATGCATATGAAATTTCTGCATAGGAAAATTCCATTTAGATGCCTGCAAAAAAATTCTTAGCCTCCCGCGCTCTCAAAAAGGATCATTGTTTTTCTGAGTGTAGTTGGTAGTTGTGCGTTTGTTTGTGTGTGTTTGTGGGATAAACTCATCTGCAATTTGTTTACTTTCGACGTTTCCGAAAATTTACTAAAAATGAAGGAAACAGAACGGACACACACACACACACTCACAAAAAATGGGTTATTACGGGCTTAGCATAACACAAAAAAAAACAAAAAAGATAGCAAAAAGGATCGAAGAGAGAGGGGGGAGAGTGGAGCACTCGCAGCAGCAGGAGCAAGAATAACAGACAAACTGAGGACTGTGGAGGACTGTGGACTGAGGACTGAGAAGGGCAAAAAGTATACGAAAAACAAAAGAAAAACTTACACTGGTCGGCAGTCAACACACACACAGGAGGAGACAGGAGGAAAATTTGCATCTTGTAAGCGAGGGGTTGGGGTGCCGGAAAAAAAGGTAGAGCAATGTAGGAGTCCAACAGTGCGTATGCTTAACGCAAAAACGATTAAGTTGTTGAGTTGAGAGATAGAGATAGAGATGGAAAGGCAGGCAGGCAGGCAGGACGGGGAGCAATGGAAATTGAAAAACAGGAGAGAAAAACTACCAGAAGCAACAATAACCAGAGGGGGCCAGGCCACATGGACAGCTGGACAGCTGGTGTAGAGGTGTACAAGGGGCAGGCGTATGGTGCTGTAGGCGTGGCACACACACACACACACACAATTAAGTTATGCGCATAATATCCCCACACACACACACACAGCCCCTCACGTATTGGCCATAAAATACGAGAGTGCCAGCAAAGCCCCAGCGAAAATCTTTGAACACTTTGAAAATCTACCGAAAAGGGAAATAGTCCAGGAAAAAGAAAAGAACCGGAAAAAAAAGGATTCATTCACTTCTTGGCTTGCTGCCCCGCAGACTTCTTGCCTCTGCCCACACAGTTTTACTTCTGCCTCCCCTTTCGCTTTTTTTTTTGGGTCAAGTTTATGCAGATGCCAAAGCGAAGGAAAAAAGAAGAATCCGAGGCGAGGCGAGGCGCTGGAGAATGGCGACAAACGCGCTTAGAAATTTTCACACGACCTCCACCAGAAGGGGCAGTGCTGGTGGAAGGGGCATGGGGCATGGGGCTAAGAGGAATATGTTAAAGAGCAGTTGTTAAAAAGGATTTACGTTTTACATTTGTGCAGAGAGAGAGTGGGATGGGTGGGGTGCAAAGGGGGGGAACATTCACACATTGGAATTTGGCCAGCACAAAAAAAAAAAGCTGAAAAAAATCATTTCGATGCGGCGATTTCGATTCGTTCTCGTTGCCGTTGCCTTTCTCTCGTGCTGCCTCTTTCTTTTTGTTTTTTTTTGTGTCGACTATTTTGAAATTCAAATTCCAATAAATTTTCCAACGATTTGGCACACAAAGCAGCAGCGCCAAAGCCAAAGCCAAAAGCGTGTGAATGTTTGAAGGTTGTTAGTATTTGAATCCTTTTTCTTTTTCTTTTTTTTTGTTGCATTTGGAAAGGATTTGCATGACCAAAAGAGCTGCGGACATTCTTTTTGGAGGGGATACAGGAGAGAAGTGGATAGAGATAGAAATCGCAGATGGATGTGCTTAAATATGCAACAATTTGTAGCAGACAAAGATGTTTGCCAAATGCAAGAGCCGCCAAGTGGACAGTGTAGGAGAGGAGCCCTTGCCAAGTTCTTTGATTATAAATTAATGTGCTGTTTACCAGGGTCTGCCGGGGTCTGCAGCACACACACACACACACACACACACACACCACACCCATCGGATGGTATGTCTGTCTGTCCTCTAATTCGATTACAATTCGGTTACTGGAGCAGGGGGCAGACAACAATTGCAGTTCGAATTGTTGTTCGCTCTCTCTGCCGTTAGTGGAAAAGCAATCAACTGTTAAATTACAACAATTGCTAGGGGGCATACCCACCAGACATATCCCGCCCGATATGCACAATACTCTAGTTAAATGGACAATTTAAAGCTGAAAGCGAAGGAGTTTTTGACAAATCAATTATTGAACTTTAATGAGTGTGTGGATTTTGGGGCGGTACTAAGAGCCATTCGATAGGGTGGTAATTGAGGGATTTTCCAGTGCATTTTTGGGAGACTTTCAGCCAGAACTAGCTTGCTTGTTAATCTAGCCAAGAACATGAAAAATAAGCTCAAAGTTTGATTTTTCCTCTAACAAAAGATAAAACAAAACAAATTTGAACGTTGGGTAAAACCCCGAAAATTGCGCATAGCAAAAACATTTCTAATTGCCATAATTCCAGCCTTCAGGCAGTACTATATCCCTGTTCGTGTGTATCCGTATCCGTGTGCCTGTATATCCGTGTGTTTGCTCTCATTTTAAGCTAGTCCTTAAGCACACCTTAAGCATCACTCACCAGCAGCAGCCGCCGCCGCCGCCGCCGCCGCCATCACAACTTCAATCAAAAACTTGACAACTTTTCGCTAACTTTTTGGCTTTTCTCTACAATATGTATATTCTCTCTCTCTCTCGCACACACACACACATGTCTTGCCTCTTGCCTCTGTGCACAACTCATGCAAAATCACCAAAAATAAAAAATAAATAAAAATATTGATATTGATAAATGAAAACCCACGAATCGAATCACGAAACATCAGCGGACATCATACAGGATGTTACGCTCTAACGGAGCGCGCAGGCTGAAGTAAGTTTCAAGTCTCAGCAAGGACGACGGAAAAAAAATATTCGATTATCCTGAATGATGATGAAGATTTTTGAGTTACCTTTTTTTTTTTGTACGTTTGGAGCCGCCTACGTTTTTTTTTTTTTGTATTGACTTTGCCTATGATTTTGACATGCCCGCCCCTCTAGACACACACAGCATATACCCTACCCTACCCTACCATACATATATACCCAACCCTACCCATACAAAACACTCACCGTGTGTTTGTTTTTGTTTTCAGTTTACGTTTACGTTTTGGGTTTTACATTGATTAGCATTTTGTTTTTAATTGTTTGAGCATGATTTTGCCAATTTTACGCCTATTTTGTAAAACTAATTTCAACAATTTTCTCGCCCACTCCTTTTCCGTTTTTTGTGTATACAACAGATTCACCATATCACGACGTAAGCGGCCTGCCGAATCCGTATAATATGGAGCATATGGAACAGGATGAGGTCCTGCCACCACAACAACAGCACATGTCCCTCAGCTACGATGACAGTTTCGAGGGCGAGTACTCGACAACGCCGAATGCCAGGAATCGTCGCGTCATACGCGAGATAATTGTCTAGAGAAGAACGAAGCATAAAATCCGGCAAAACAAAAATCCAGCACTCAATATATCTCTATCTATCTTTGTATCAATCTATATATATGTATCTCTCACCCAACACACACACACACACACACACACATCGAATCGAATCTACTCGTAAAACACACACCCACAACACAACACAACATTCATTCATTATCATCGAAAAGAGTCTTATATTATTTTTTTCTTGATTTTTCTTGAACTCAAATTCTAATTTGAAAAGTGGCCATTTTTTTGAATACTTTTTTTTTAATTTAAAATATATAAATATATATTTGATTGTAAGCTTAGTTGAGGGATACGACCGACGAACGTGTGTTGAGTTTTATTGGCAACGAATGATATATACATATAAATACCATATACCATACCATACCACCCATCATCCACCCTAGCAGATGGTTAGGCATAGGCATTTAAGCATAAGCATTGGAGTTCCAGTTCCTGGGATACACACCCAGGATGCAGCTCCATCACACACACACACACACACACAGTTACAGCTACAGTTACACACATCACCCACTGGACGAGCACTTAATGTTACGATCGAGAACAGCTAGCAAATAGGTCTAAAATAGTAGTTAAAATAATAGTACATACAAAAACACACACAGTCTATGATCTAGGTCCCAGTTTGCGCGTGGAGGAAACGAGAGAAAAACGTAAAACTTTAAGTGTGGCATCCAATGTTGAAATGAGTAAGAAATTTCAAAGAAAACTTAAGAAAAATCTCACACACACACACACACACACCTAGGCTTAGAGATTAGAGATCTACAGATACAGATTAGATACATTAAATCCATTAAGTGATTCGCGTTGGTTCTGTGTGCTTACTTCTCACAGATACTCTCCAACAAAAACAAAAGTATATATATATATTTAAACAGTACGACCTGCCACAAAAAAAAAAAAAAAAAAAACAAACAAGAAAACCTTACAAAAAAAAGTAAAGAAAAAACTTACCTTAAACTAGTTTTAAATTTTTAAATAAATCTGAGAAAAAGAAAAACGAAAAAAAATATGTTGCTTTAAGTAAGTTCTATGATAAAAAAAAAGAAAAAGAAAAATGAAAACAACGGAAAACTTTAAAAGATTATTACAAATAATTGAAAAATAGAAAAACCACAAAAAAACCAACTCCTCCAATTCAACAAAACTTTAATATAATTTAAAAAATTTAACATTTAATTTAAATGAAAAAAAAACAACAACAATGATTGTGTTCTGTGTTTTCCATTTGTTTTGATTACGTTCTGACGAGCTTTTTGTTGAAATTCAAAATTTTAATAATCATATGAAAATAATTTGTAACTATTGTTAAGCTTTATGACTATGATTATCCAATCCAACGAAACGACGATTCATTCATTAAGTTATATGTATGTGTTAACAATCTATAAATGTTTTGTTTGTGCGTTGTTTTTTTTAATACCCTTTTCAAGTGTTTTTTGCAACTTTTTGACAAAGGCACACACACACACACACCATGGTAAACGATAAACGATAGACGAGCGGAACATTTTTTGTAGCTAAGATTTAATTGTAAATACATGTGTAATTTGTATATATTTACTTGGATTGCAGAAAAAAAAGTAAATAAGCAGCAGCAGCAGCCGGCAACTTAAACTAAATTGTAGTTAATTTTAAACAATTTCGAAATGAATTTAACTAGTAAGCAAATGTTTAAGAGAGCAAATGCCACACTAAAAAAAATAAAGCGAATAATTCAGAAACAAAAAAAATCTCGTTAAATGAACAAAAAGCAAACACACACAGCAAACGGATAAAATTAAGCAAAAAGAAAAAAAAGAATACGAAATGAGAATCTTTATTATATAAATTATACACTCTTAAAAAAGATAAGCGAATATACATTATATATACATACATATATATATACACATACATATACATCTACTTATTATTTGTAAATAAGTAAAAGGCATAATATTTTCATTTCAAGAGTCCCTCCTCCATACCTTCTTCCCCCCCCACAAAAACGAAACGAAATCCATTAAAAATATATTTCCAAACAAACAAAAAAAAAGAAACGAAATCAAAAACTTTTTTATTTAGCAACAAAAAAATATAGATACATATGTACACACACACACACACACACGAGTATATACGATATTTTGCAATTTGACTGACAGACACACACACACACTCACACACAGACTAAATGTTGTGTCATGTGTGTGGCATCATTCAAAAACAAGAAATGAATGAAGTGAATTAAAAATACGAGTATGTATGCTGTATGTAGAAGCTGCATGAACAAACAGAGGAGACAACTGGAAAAAAAATAGACAGACTTTTGCTATTGCCCTCGAGCGCTGTTCAAATAATAAAACACTTTGTTAACTATTTTGTATGCATTTCTGATTTCTGATTCAATTCAACAAATTGCCAGCGCCCATTTCCATACACGAACAAAAAAAAAAACGAAAGAGAAAACACTAGCTAAAATATTTATGATGCATACACACACACGTACAGACACACACACACACACAAACACACACATGAAACAAAACATACAATATTTTTTTATTCAGTTTTAAAACGAAGGTAAAATAAAGCAAAACATCAAAACCAAACAAAACAAAAATAAAAAGATGAATTTAAATTAAATGCCATGCGTTTTTGATTGGGTTTCGTGGCCAGGAAATGTGGGCCAGCGAACGGGATTTGCTGCAACAAAAGGAGGAGGAAGAGGAGACGGAGAGGGAGGCAACTACAGCTCCAGCTGCAGCCATTGCATAATGTGCCATGTTTAAGTTGATTGGCACCAAATTTATAGCCATGCAATTTGACTTAAGTGGCAATGCAGGCGACGTCGCTCGGCTCGGCTCGCTCTGGCAACTCTGGCGCCGGAAGTAACACGACACTGACATTTTAATTTAGTGCCAAGCGCAGTGGCTCCCAGACCACCCTCCCGCCCCCCTGGGCCCACGTTCTTCGCTGTTGGGTTTCCTGTTCATGTCACTTCCTCTTCAGTTTGGCGTAAGAAACGGCAGCCACTTTGACTAGCGCTGACAGCGCCAGAGCCCGTCCGAGTGGCGCAGCCTCGGGATTGGCAGTGTGGCACAGGCAGCCTTCAAATTGGCTAACAATTTGTAATCAATTCGATTAATCGATCCCAAAATTGTTGCATTAAGAATGCATTAAATATGTTGAAAAGTAAGTAAGCCATAAGCGTAGGCGGTAAGTTCTAGCTGTACTCTGGGATATTCTCATGATCACAGTGCAAGCCATAGCACTCACAGATCGGCACACAAATAAAGGAGTATTGGATTGGGGGTCCCGGTGTCCATGCAACCTCGAACTCGATTCCGGACTCTGCCACTGCAAATGTCGCTTAATTAGTAGCAAGTGGCAGGACGACAACGAGGGCACCCAGAATGAGATACGATACGTAAAGCTGGCTTCTTGATTCTCTAAATATTAGTTGTTGTTGTACCAAACTCAATTTTGTGGCTTAATATTTAGCAATAATGGCGAAAAAAAAATGTTGCTGCACACTTTTAGTTGCAAGGAAATTATTATTAGCTTTGCCTACTTTTAGTGACAATTTAAAAAATTTTAATTTAATTAATTTTAATTTCATTTAATTTAAATCATTTTAATTTAGAAAAAAGAAGAAAACTAGCGAAGTTATTGCCTTGGTCTGAAATTTCTTTGTTCTCGCTAGTTGCAGGTAGATTTTCGTTGCATTTTGCGTTTGTCTATTGATCGACTACTTACTGGCAGATAGGGGCATGTCTTGGCATGTCTTTTCGTAATCGGTAAAGTCCTCCTAACCGAAATAAATTTTTCTACGATATTCGCAACAATTATGATGCTGTTTGCACACAAACTTGACACATTTCCATAAACGATATTTTGATGGCGATCGCGGCAGTCTGTATCCTTTCAATCCTGGGGAAACTAGGCCCTTCCGCGATCTGGCTGGCCTCCATTTGCCGAAGATATAGCGGCTCGAACTTGGGCCCTGCAAATAATAATTAAAATACTTATTTTATTTTTATTTAATTTTTATTTATTTTTTATTTTTCCCTATGCTATATCTCGGCTATAAAGCGTTCGATCGGGAGCGTAGCATGTATATTCGTGATCTGTGGAGTCCATCCGTTCTTTGAGAGATTTTCGCAAATGTCTGTTAGAAATCCCATTGCCGCTCCGTCTGCAAATGTCTGCATAATGAGAACACCTGAAAATTAGAGCCAAGTGCGAACACTTCAATCCAGGCTGCTCTCGATGATGACATGGATTTTGCAGCAAGTAGGCCACAACCAGGAGCAGAATAGAGCAGAGCAGAGCAGTGCAGAGCCACAAAACAAAACCAAACGAAAGCGGAGCGGAGCAAAACCCCCCAAACAACCCACACCCCAAACACCAAGCACCAGCAGCCGCAGCCGCAGTCATTCATTCATTCATATCTCAAACAAAAGCGGCATATGAAATTCATTTACTCCGCTGCCAACCATTCGTCATTCTATAGCTACCCCCTCCTTATCCGAAGCCACCCATCAGCGTTTTCCCACAGCATTCCATGACTACATGACCAAGGGTGCCTCATCCAGCACGTAGTCGGCGGCAACCACCGTCAATTAAAGCGTTGCCGGTGCCGCCTAATTGGATTTATGCCACATTTATGTGTGTGTGTGTGTGTAGGTGCAAATTGGTGGATATGCGGCAGGCCCAGAGGCAGGAGCAGCGGCAGGAGCAGCGGCAGGAGGAGCAGCACAAAACTCGTGCTAAAAATCAGTAGGATAATGAGCGAGAACTGCTGCCATTAGGCCTGTCGAGGAGTGGAGCAGGAGCAGCAGCAGGAGTAGGCGGAACACACAGACAGCCAGAGCAAAAACACACACACAGACAGAAAGTACGAACCGAACCACAAACTTAATGCCAGGCAGGACCCCGAAGCCCGCACCCCGCACCCCGCACCGACAACAATTGCAACTTGCCAAGCACTAACAACTTTCGAGGACTTTAAATGAAATTACGCGAAAAACTTTCGGACCACCATCCACCATCCACCAGCCAACAGCCAACAGCCACCACAGTGATGGCAACTTTTTGAAGAGGTCTCCAGGAGGTCTCTATATTGCGGTTGCGGGCACGCTCGTTGGACTCCAACGCCAACGCTGACTACGACTCCGACTGTGGCACGACTGTGGAAGGACTGTGACCGCGAGAGAGAGAGAGAGAGAGAGAGAGAGAGGCGCATAATGAGTTTCATAAATTACCGCAAATTAAAGACACGATGAGTGTGCCGCTGCCACCTTATAGATGCCACCTCATTGCCACTCGTAGGCTGTGGCGGCGGCTGCGGCGACGGCTTCGGCTTCGGCTTCATCCTACATTCATCTAATCAACCCCATACCTCAAACACCCCCACAATCCCCACTCTGACACTCCCTCCCTCTCTCGCTGGCACTCTGCGGTCATTGGTTTGTAATTAATGCGACCAGAAGCTGACCAGACTGGCCGGACTTGGCACGCCTGCGGCGGGCCTAATGTTACAGCAGAGCAGAGCACCGAACCCCCCCCTCCAGCGCCCAGAAGCCAGGTCAGAGGTCAGTGGCAGTCTGCGATCTGCGGTCTGCTATCCGTGTGGAGTTGAGTGCTTTTGTGTTTAATTTTATTAATTATCGACGTAATCTTTGAAGTTGCCAGCTCCAGTCGGGCAGGCTTCAGGCTTCCGGCGGCTCCTCCTTTAACTTTTGTCTGCTGCGACGCGGAGGCGCCTCCATTAATCGCCTTAACTCGAAACGTGTGTGGCGCGAAATTCCCATATAAACTTTTTGGCAGCCGACAACTTTTCTTTTTTTTTTGTCCCCCCCCAAACCCAATTACAGCTCTGACACATGCCACAGCCAAAGGTGAGAGAGGCGGAAAAAAAAAAAATATGTTGCCGTTTGTATTGCAAACAAAATCATGGCATAGACGCGTTCCAATTTGATTTGATTACGCTTACGCCAAGGTTGCCAGAGCAACATTTTGGCCAGAGCAACATTTTGGCCCATTACCTGTAAACAGAGAGCGAGAAGTCCAAGGAAGGAGGACCAGGGGACAGAGGACACTCCTCGGCAGCCTGGCAACAGCTGCTCATTTGCTAGCGCCTAATCCTGAGAGCACATTCACAGCATTGCCAGGCAACTGCAGACGTCAGGGGGTGCTGGCTCGGGGTACTGGGTGCTGGCTCTGGCTCTGGGTACTGGGTACTGGCTGGGGTTCTGCCTCTGAGTACTGGGCTCTGGGTACTGCCTCTGCGTTCTGGCCTTTATCCCAGCGGCGTAATTTGAGCGCAAATATTGAAGTTTAAAAACCACCAGCAACAGTAGCAGCCAGCCAGCCAACAGCAGCAGCAGCAGCAGCCACAAATAAAAGAATAATCATAATAATGAGCAAATATTTAAGCAGCCAGAAATCAGAGTGAGGGCCAGCAGACACTGCCCTGCTGAGCGCACGGGGGATGAAATAAACGCCCTGCCCCTGCATACATAAATTTCTTATCGAGGATAAGGATAGCCGAACCAACCCAACCCAACCTAGCCCGTCCAGCCATTGCTCTCACCCCTCTTCAATGTCTCACTTGCTGCCTGCTCTTGATTGTAATTATGAATGAAATTCGAATTGCAAGAATGGAAATTCGCTTCAGTTTCGCTGTTGCAGTTGGGTGCCCCGTGCCACGTGCCACGTGCCCTCTGATCCAACGGTCACGTGGCGCCGCTACCAGCGTCGCTAGCGTCGTTTCGCGCTCATCGGAAGTGCCAATAAGTAGTTGTCAATATTGACTGATTATCTCGACACGGAGAAAGTGAGAGAGGGGAGAGCAGCAGCAGCAGCAGCAGCAGCGGAAAAAGTAGAAGGAAGCGTCGTCGTGATTGTGAGTTGTTTGGGACTTAAGCGGAAGCAAACATAAATCACAGCGATAGAAACGATGGCAACCTAGAGCCACCCCTCCGACTGGATGGCAGGCAGGGCTCTCCACCGGGCAATGCAATTATTTTGCAGGAGATGGCCATAATTTAAGTTGGCAGACGACAGGAAGAAGCTGCTACTATTTAGTTCCATCTACTGAGTGCCTGACTGACTGTCTGCCTGCCCGACTGACTGCCTCCCTGCCTGATCGCCTGCCCGACTGCCTGCCTGATCGACTGCCTGCCTGCCTGCCACAGGAGATGCGCATAATTGCATTTGAATGGTCTGAGACTTGCAACAGACTTGCAGCTAACTGCCGCCCCTCTGGCTGTGCTTCAATCGATGTGTAATGCGGGGGATGAGCTAAACGCTGATTTTATCTAGCACTGGCATTACGCTAAGATGCTACAATTGGCAGGCAGGCTATCCTGATGGTTCACGCGGCGCTAACTGCCACGAACTTATGGCCATCAGCAGGCTGATTAACATCTCCACAGCGAGAGAGCTTTAACTTTAATGGAACTTTATTTCCACAATTTCCATGTGCACGCTTTTATATCCACTGATCGCTGAATATATAACTAAGCGCACATCTACAAAAGCGGCTTATCGTCAGAGTTATTCCAGAAAATACTTAGAAAACGGAACTCGAAGTGCAGTAAACAAATGGGACTGAGAAGCGCCAGTAGCGCCGCTTATCGGAGTATGTTTTATCGTCCAAAGAGAGGGCAACAACGACACAGAGAGAGAGAGAGCGATGGAGAGCTGTGGTCAAAGTCTTGATAAATATAGTGCCCGCGGCTTTAGTTGTGTAACAATCGCTGGTCAGTCTTTATTCTTAGTCGGACAGTCACAGATCTGCTGCATAAATTATGGCACTTCGCTTGGGTGTACTGCTGCTGCTGCTGCTCCTCCTCCTCCTGGCCAGCCACACGCATGGACGCTGCGAGAGATCGGGCACACTGGACAATGGCTCCATGTTCAGTCGGAACAGAAATATGATGCGCATTCGCTGCGATTACGGATATTATCTGCAAGGCAGCTCCATCGCCATCTGTGGCCTGGATGGTCGCCTGCGCGGCGAGCGACCCTTCTGTGCAAGTAAGTGGCCATCTGTCTCTCTCGCCCCCCCCAAATCTCTGGCTAATATTCTGCTCGATTAACTCCACCAAAGGACGGGGCTGCACAGCGCCAGAGCAGGAGCTGCACAGCGATCGAGTGGTCAGCAATGGCCTGAGGGCCTACACCGTCTGTCACGATGGCTTCGTGCTGGTGGGCAGCGCCAGCGCCTACTGCAATGGCACGCACTGGAACACCGCCCTGGGCAGCTGTCGGCGCAGCAATCACACGCTGGATCACTCGTGCGACTTTGAGAGCGAGGATCTGTGCGGCTGGACGGTGGAGCAGTCGTTCATTCAGCCCTGGAAGCGCATCAGCACTGTGGCGGATCACCATTCGTTCCGGACGGGGCCGCGGCACGATCACACCTTCCAGCGCAGCGACGGCGGCCACTATATGCGCATGGAGACGAAGGGCGGCGCCTTTGGCAGCTACCACTTCATGTCGCCCATCTATCCGCGCGAGCTGAGCCTGAGGACCGCCTGCTGCTTCCGGTTCCACTACCTCATGTACGGCGCGGGCGTCGACAGCCTGGTGGTGTCCGTCAAGCCGATCTCACTGCCCGTCCAAGACATGTGGACGTCGTACAGGGACAAGTAAGTTTGCACAGCGAAAGCGGAAGCGACGCTTGATAAGCGCCCCCACGCGCACTCTCACACTCACTCTCCTCCACTTCCTCTCTCTCCCACTCTCCCTCTTTGATTATTGCAGCTCCACGAAATTGAAAATTACTGGCAGTCAGGGCACCGAGTGGCTGGCGCATACCATCATCATTGACGACATGGAGGAGGATTTTCAGGTGATCTTTACGGCCACCGATGCCAGGTCGCGTTTCGGCGACATTGCCATCGATGATGTGCACCTGATGACGGGCCCGGACTGTGGTGTGGATGGATACACGACCACCGCGGAGCCCACTGTCACGCCGGATGCCGGCAGCGATGATCAGCCGCTGGTCTTTGACATGATGAACTGCACGAATCGGTGTGGCCAGCCGGGCAGCAGGTTCGTCCTATCGGCGGATGGAATACTCAGGGGCTGTGGGTGCAACGAGGAGTGCGTGCTATTGGATAATTGTTGCCTCAATTACATTGACGAATGTGTTGTGATAGCGGAGGCGACCACACAGGAAGAAGTATGGCAAACAACAACTACTCCAACAACAACAACAACGACCACAACGACCAGAAAGCCTAACACAACAACGACTACAACAACTACAACAACAACAACAACACCAAAACCAACAACAAAGAGAACTACAACAACAACAACGACTACAACAACACCAAAGCCAACAACAAGAACGACAACTTCAACAACAACACCAAAACCAACAACAACGACTACAACAACAACACCGAGACCAACAACAAGAACAACCACCACAAGGCGTACAACAACTTCAACAACAACACCAACAACAACACCAACAACAACACCAACAACAACACCAACAACAACACCAAAAACAACACCAAAATCAACAACAACAACCACTCTAAGATCAACTTCTGCCGCTCTCAATCCTACCCAAGTAAATCCAAGTAAGAATCATCGCCATAGCTATACGATATATATCACGATCCCCTTTCGATAGTTTCCTCCACAGAGCGTACCAATAATCGCATATCGTGGACAGTGGATCCGAACGAGATTGCCGGCCACATGGACACCACTGGCAACTCCAACGCCAATCCCGCACTCATCATGCTGTACATTCTCCTGGCCATTGCGCTGATTGTGGCCCTGACCAATGTCACCTATCGCTGGATCATTCCACTGACTGCCGCCGCGCCCAGCAATGAGAAGGCGGTCGCCTTCCAGAAGGCCTTCAGCAAGCTGAGAAAAACAAGACTATCACGTCGCAATCAGTTGAAGAACGAAGACGGTCAGGGGCAGCCGTTGTGCGATACCGATGACGAGGATGGTGACAATTACTTCGAGAATGATGCAACACGCTTCGAGGAAATGGGCGTGGACATACGGAATGTGACGGACCTCTGAGAGAGAAACACACGCACACAAAAGGAACGCAATATGAGGGCTCTATACCCTACACTCACCCTCAGCCTTACCCCTATCCTTACTCACCCGCACCACTACTCTCTACTCTGTTTTTTGTATGTATGATTATACCTATTGTATAGGCTAGGAGTTCTAACCCACTTGTTTATACAACTAATAAAAATGTATATGCCCGAAAAGTGCAGAAGATTATCAACTTTTCATAGAAGTTTGCATAGAAAATTTGTGATTTTAGTTGAAGAGTCTTTAAGGCAAAGATTGAGCTCTAGATTGCACATCGATTTCAGGTTTCTGGCTTAAATTTCTTAGCTTCCGCCTGCCTGCCTATCTGCCATAAAAAGGCCTCCAATATACTTCCTGCTATCGGTTATATTTTTTCTTCTTTCCTTCCGTAGACGCTTCAAATATTCGCTCAGATCATCGCTTAAACCTGCCAAAAAAAGGTCCCCTAAAAAGTATTGGCAAGTACTAAAAATAACTCCATTAAATGATGCCTTTTAAGCTGCATTAAATCAGGCAAAGATTGAGAGCTGCTCTCCCTTGAATATTACAATCAAATTATGTTATATTTCATTCACATGCGTGAGAGTTGGGTTACTCTTCCCCCCAGTCACTAAATCGAACAAAAAATACACTGAATTGTTACAACAAGTGCGCAGAAAAAGGGTCACACAGTCCTGCATGAAATCTAATAGCATCAAGGAACCCTTTTTGGCCAAGAAGAAGGAACCCCGCCTTTTTATTTTGTATTTTTGTGTGCGTTTAACGAGCCCCAAGAGCGAAGGCCGCCGCCCACCACGTTGATCTCCCCTAATCAAATCTTGTGGGGAGTGTCAGTTACTCAGAAAATTTCTCATCGGCCTGAGGCCTGACGCCTGCTCCTGCTGATGCTGATGCTGCTGTCAGTCAGTCAGCCTCAGTCCTCAGTCCTCAGTCTGTTCCCCGCTGCCGTTCGCTCTTTTTGCAGAATATTGCACGTGTCCTGCCGGCGGCGGCCAGTTCTTGTTGCAACCACCGACTCGTAACGACTCTGACTCCGACTCCGACTGCGACTCCTGGCTGGGGCAGCAACCACCACAGCAATGGGGTGTTTCTCTGGCTCATGTTTTAACAGCGGCTTTGGGTTGTGATTTAGTGGCAGCTTAGCGTCTGTGTCCGGGGTCTGGGTACCGGTTACCAGCTACCGCTAACCAGACATCAGCCACCAGCCCCCTGCCCTGTAGATTTTCCGCTCTCCCCCCCACCGTTTGTAAAACGTTTTGTGCCGCACTCAGCGAAAATATTTTTCTGGGCATTTCATGCAATTATTGCCACTGGACCAGACCAATCCCAGACACCAGATCCCCAGCAACCACCAGCAGCAGCAGTGGCGGGATTTTCCCATTCGAGTCGCTGGCAGTTTGCACGCTCAACAAATTTTCACACAAGATTTTCCAGAGCAGCTTTTCCGGTTAAAGAGGGTGGGAAAAGCCTAGCCTCCAATTGGAACGGGCAGAGTTTTGCATTTTCTCCTGCCTGCCGTTTTGCCTTTTTCCTTGGGTTTTTTTTTTCCTCCGCTGCTTTTTTGACTGCTAGACACCCCTGCCAGAGGGTAGGGTTGCCGCCGCACTTTCTGTTTGCAATTGTGATTTAGCGCCCCTGCCCCTGTCCCTGCCCCCTGACTCTATCGACTTCTCACACATCATTTGATATGGCGAATTTCCGTTCTTGTCGTTCTTTTCGTTCTTTTCGTTCTTTTCTTTTCTGTTTTTTTTTTTTTTTTTTTGGTTTTTAATTAAAAAGGCACTTTGACAAGGGGCGTGCCTGGAGACACTTTTGGCGTCTAATGCTCGTTGAGTTCCTAATTAAATGGTAAAAGTATTTCGGCTTATCTAAGGGAGGCAGCAGAGGCAGCACTCTCCCCCTCCCTATCCTGCCTCTATGGGGGGGTGTTCTGTTGATGCATCGTAAATAAATTCTCCACTCACTTGACGCGGCCTGGGCACAAATTTTTTTGCATGCCACGCCGCCCTGAAAAAGGGTATTGAGCGGTCGTGGGGGGAGTGGGCGCATTGGAGCTGCTTATCTATCACATTCTGGACAAGCCCACACACGACGACGACGACGACGACGCACCCTCGACACCCAGTAACATTGCTGGTTGCGGGTCCCATAGGCCCTGGCCTGGCTACGGCTACGGCTACTGTCCCGCGCTTATCGCAGCAATAAATCGCATTAATTTATTGTTGTCGCCGCATATTTCGTGGCACTGAGGCGCCCGCCCACACCCACTGCCCGCTGCCTCTGCTACTGCTACTGCCTCTGCCCCCTGCCCACTTCCTCTACCACTGTGTGGCACTCTGCCTCTTAATGGGCTTGTCCACTCCACGCCACTGGACACTGTGTGGACAGTGCCTGGGGGCAGGGCTTGGGGCGTGCTCCGCGCTCACTGCATTATTATTGTTTTCCATTTAACACTTTTTAGTGGGTCTGCTGCACTGCCCCGAAAGTACGAGTAATATTTGAACGGTGAAGGGTAAGCCGCGTGGGCGACACAAGCCACCCAAAAGTGATCAGAATTAAAATGTGCTGGGGGTGCTATATGCTAAAGGATCTGCAGAAGTGCATAACCAATAAAGAAAGAAAACTCTTGGCATATATTCAATGTATGAAAAAAAGAAAAGAATAATGAGCTTAGACAGAGAATTGTATGATTCAAACAATTATTAAACCAACAAGAATATATTTGGAAATGGTTACGTCCAGGTATTAATTTATAGAATTATTTATTACTATTTTATTATTTTTATTATTTTATTATTTATTATTATTTATAGAATTAGCATCATTTCGTGGTATTTCCATGGACATACGAATGTTAAAAGATGCAAAAAGCTGCTCTATAAAATGCCAAGTGCACTCAAGGAACAGATTAATTAATTAAATAATTAATAATAATAATTACTTAATTCATGATTCCTTTTTGATAATAATTCATAAGAATTCTCCTGATGTTGAAACTGATATAGCTGCACTCTGCACTCAAGGAAAAGATTAATAAATTAATAATACTAATAATTAATTAAATAATGATTAGCTTTGTTCGGTAATAATTACCAACAGTTCCCTTAGTGTTAAGACTGATATAGCTGCACTCGCTATCTACCTAATAATTGATACGTAAAACGTATATAAAGCTTACCAAAAATGCCTAAAAAATCCGTGCCTTATATACAGCAAATTCAGCAACTAGCCATGAAAAGTATGTTCAAAATTGTAAAACAAACATTTAAATTAAAATTAAAAAATAAGTGAATCTTCAGCCCGAATTTGAGCAGCAGCATTTATTCCTACATCCAACTCAAATCTCTCGCTATACTCCCGAGTCTTTCGCACTGTCACTGCCCCCCAAAAAGCAGAGTATATTCACGTCTGCAGGTGCACCAGTCTGGGCCCAAGTCAATCCAAAAATAAATGTCCTCTGCCATATGTTTTTATTGTTTTGCTCAAAATTTTATCAGCTGCGTCAGCATTTCAGTTTTGCTGTTTTAATCTTCGCTTCGCTTCCCTCGCTTCGCCTCGTGCATTGGTCATGTGCGAAATTGTTGCCCCCAAAAGGAGATTCCTATCAGCAGACGGCAGCCGCATGTCCCTGTCCCTGTCCCTTCCAAGTGGAGTACGGCCTTTGGGGGCAGCGAGAATATTTATAACACTACGGCTGCAATTTATTATGCAACGTCTGGATAATGGATAGAAGAGAGAGAGAGATAGACAGAGAGAGAGAGTGAAGTGGAGGGGAGTGAAGTTTTGGCTACTTTCACGTGCCACTCACCAAAGATGTCACCTTGTGCCTGGCTGCCTGGCTGCCTGCCTGCCCTCAGGCTGGGCAAGAGGGTTCCCAGGTTCCAGGTTCTGGTGGTTCCTGGTGGCCACACACACACACAAAACCTGGCCAAGATTTATGCACTCAAGTTATGGCGGGGCCCAGACTGCAACTTTATCGTTTGCCGAGAGTGTTTCCATTTGTGTTTTGTCCCCCCGTTCCCCTACCCTAGCAGCAGCTTGACCATAGCACAAATTTCCCTTCTTTAGCTGCTTTCTGCAACTTTCCCTACTTTGCCCTTGCTGCATGTGGCAGCTGCCTGCAGTAACAGTTGCATGGCACAGTCTTGTTGCTGCTGTTTTTGTTGCCTGTTCTCGACATTTCCTGTTGCCGTCCGTTATCAGTGCCCTGTCCACCCCAACCCCTCCCTCCTCTTAAGTTGTTGTCGACTGCAGATCTTTTTGCTGCTGTCCAGCTGGAGTGCCGGAGTGCAAGTATTTTGCTGCCAAGGAATAAAACTGTGTCCACAATTTAAATAAATACACAAGAGCCTGGACAAAAGAGAGTGGGGGGCATTGCGGTGCAGCGTGTGTGTTTCAGGGGCATAATGAAGTTTGAATGCCCCAAGTACAGTCGTAAGTTGTGGGTGCAGGGATTTCTGAGAGTTTCTTTCACTGATTTAACCATGAGAATGGGCGCTGAGCTCTGCTGCTGCAACAGTCAGCAGAACTTTAAATTTAAATGAACAAAATTGAACTGGATTTCGGATGTTTTTCTGTGTGCAAAGAGAGGTACCATGGCAGGCAGCTTTTTTCTTTTCTTTTTTTCTTTTCTTTTCTTTTTTTTTTGTTAATTTACTGGACCCACACATTGATCATTGACTGCCTGCCTGGTATTCAACCATTTTTGATGTTTTTTTGTCTGTTGTAAAAGAGAATTTAATTGCATGTATTTGGGTTTATTTTCTTAGTGGAATCGATGGCAGAAAAGTGCTAGAAAAATGCAGAAATTGCTATAAAGCAAATCGGAACAATTATAGCACAAAAATAATGCAAATTATATAAGAAAAATAATATTGCAAATGGGAAAAATACTGGAAACTATAGCAGCAAAATAATGGAAATCAAAGTAGAAAAAAACTGGAAATTGTAAAAGAAAAAAATATTAGAAATTAGAACAGAAAAATGCTGGAAATTATAACAGAAATATACTGGAAATTATAACAGAAAATAATTTGAAATTATAGCAGAGGAAAAAATGGAAATTATAACAGAAATATGCTGGAAATGATACCAGTAAATAATATAAATAATATCGGAGAATATTATATTATTATTATTATACATAACTATTATTACATCTATTATATTATCCGCCGTA